CTAAAGCCAGTATTTAAGTCAGCATGACATGAAAATTTACCATTTATCTCCTTTTCGCAAAAGTTGCTTGAAACGAAATGAGAAATGCACAAAATAGGTCACAGAAATGATTACGTTGTGGCTATTTGTGGTGCTTTCTGTTTTTAAAGCAGCATTCGGATGACAGAAACAGGGCTCCTGTTGCCACATTTCTCAAAAATAATCTGGGCAAGGAATTCAAAGACAAAAGAAAAATCAGAGCAAAAAATGGTCTTATTAATATATACATTTACAAAACTAACCTGTCCACTAAAGATCTGCTCTATACTAGGTATATAGTCTTTAGAGTATTCAGTAGACTGTCTGCTTAATATCAGTTCACACTTTATTTTGATGGACATTCTACTGACTATAAGTCACTTTGTAGCTATGCCAACATATTCTATTAACCCTAACCCTAACCTAACAGTCTACTAATAATCTAATGAGAGTTAGTTGACATGTAGTTGCAAAGTTATAATCAGTAGAACGTCTAAAGTGGACTATTGAAATAAAGTGTGACCAAGAAAATCAAATCTGGAGTGTTGCTCTTTCACAGTCAGCATTAATTTGTCTCAGAGGGAAAGCGGAGCGAGTCAAACACTGAAGCAGAAGCACTGTGAGTGTTTAAGTGTGCAGGTGAAACACAAGCCATGGAAACAGAGGAGCATAAAAAGCACAGTAAGATTAAAGCATATCAGCATCATCACAAACACTGCATACATTTGCATCATTTAGCCAAGAGTCCTTCAGGAGCCACATCGTCTGTTCTTCCGCCTTTAGGAATGAGAGATTATTAGATCTCACACAGACAAATCTGTGCCAATTTAGCCTCTTAATTTAAATCTAAATGAGGAGAAATGAGGGCAAAATAAAGCAGTCAGCCATCTGAGACAGTGAATGTGAACAGAGCTGCTCAGAAAGTACTATAACCCTAAACCCAGAAGACCCAGACAAATGTCCAAGGGTTTCACAATGGAAGGTTTTTATTTAGGAGTAAAATAAGCTCTTTAGTTAACTTCAGTTATGTTTTGTCCGTGATGTCTCTAATACACCATTTACACCCGGTTGAACCTCAAACATGAAATTTGGTGCTGCCGTTTTTACAAATATACAGTAAGTTGCTAAACAGCAGAAGGACGTGAGTTTATGAGCTGGATGAATCAGACAAGTGCTCTCATCATCATCATCATCATCATCATCATCATACAGCAGCTCGTTAGGGACTCACACTCTAAACACAGCGACTTCAAGTCTCACATTTGAGGTTTGAGTGTGTATAACTAATGTAGAAAAAAACACGAAAGTTTCTGCACCTCAGACCTTACTTGACTCATAAATCAGAAAACAGTCATAGAAACACATGACGAGCTAGTCTTCTAGGTCGGCCTGTAGATCATGGCTAAAGAGCTCTATAGGGGTGCCTAAAACACACTTAACCGTGGTAAAACCAGTGTAACGCAACACCAATATGGCATGACTTCAACAGATATGTTGATATGATTGCAACAGCAAAATAACAACAGTGAATTTTGACAGGGATGGTGCTCCACTTCAGACTGGTTACATCTTTCTTCCACTCAATAGCCCACAAAAACCTATGCAAGATCTGCACATATATGCAGGATAATATTAACATTATGCAATGTGTTTCTTTCAGTGCGCGTCCATGAGAAGTAAAGAGAATCTGAACAGAAGCTGCTACTGTAACAGATCACATAACAGAAACTTTGACATGGATAAAGCTGTGTGCCTGATAATGATTTTTAACCAGAGAGCTATTTTTTCTCTTTTGTAATTTAATGCACAAATAAATACTGAGCCATTTATATTTTTCTTCCTTGAGATGTCTGTCTTTAGTTCAGGATTATTATAGTTAACTAAAACAAACAAACAAACAAACAAATAAATAAAAAAAAGTTTTCTATGGACCTCCTAGAACCACCTTCTGGACACCAGAAAAAAAAAAGATTTAGAAGAGAGAAGAAATACAGTCCCCCCATATACATGTACAAGACCAAGAGCATAAAGGAACAGGCTCTTGTTCTGATGCCGTTCCTAATCTTCCTATGACTCATTCCCCAGAATCTATTGCTGTTGTTATATGACTATCATCATCTTTCTCATCATTTTCAACTACCCTCACACCTGCACTGAATTATGCAGACACTGGCGCTGGACTGGCACTACCTGACCTCCACGATGAACCTCAGCAGGATGGAGTGAAGTCTGCCTTTACAAGTGAGATGGAGTAAAAGCCTGTATTATTAAACCTACAGTATTGTGGACTGGCATAAAATATGGCTGCTCAACTAAACATTTACATCTTCATAAAGAGTTTACTCACAGGTCTTGTGCATGCTTACTAAACTGGTCTCATGAAACACATCCTCACTGTAATCCCAAACCGGCATAACCATGAAAGCATAACTGATCCCAGGTCAGCTACAATGACAACTGCTTTCCCACAATGCCAAGCCAGTGAGTCTTCACGTCACACCATATAAACACTTAATTGGATCAAACTGAACCTCCTGAAGTAGTTTTGCCTAATGAAGAGCATTCCACTCCACAATCCTCTTACAGCTCTTATTACGGCCATCTTTCCCACCACTCGGTTAACCCGATGGCTCGAAAAAACAATACTCAACCCTACAGTAATAGAAACCTACAGACCAGTCCCTCTCCTGTCAAGACTGTGTTCATTCAGCTCTCTCTCTCTTTTCTTTCACTGAACGTCCAGCTTCAGAAGCAAACATTCAGGAGATCTGTCTGTAGCTGAAACTCTGCGGCTGGCATAAGTTCACTCCAAATCATCATACTAGACCTGTTCATTGCTTTCAATCAAAGGAATCATCAGATTCTCCTGGCTATTAGAAGAACTGCACCTTACTGGCACAATCAGATCCTTCGAGATTTGTTGAGGAGTAGGGTAAACACTGGGGTGCCTCAGGGTTCAGTGCTTGGCCCCCTCCTATTGTCTATATACACAACTCCAGCTGCTGCAATGTAGATGATACACAGCTCAACCTGTCATTCCTACCTGGCGACCCCATAATCTCATCTCTGCATCACTTTCAGACATCTAGGTCTGAGTGAATCAACAGACCTGATATAACCATTAAAACCACTTCAAAAAAGCACCTTACAAAACAACCTGTTTTGTCTTTTCTGTTCTATTCACTATTCACTTCTGCTCAATTCTGGTTTGTCATGGTTTTTCCGCATTCATAAGTGTATATTTTTCTCACTTTGGATAAAAGCATCTTTTTAAGATGCACTCAGTACGTTTTACCTCATTCAAAAAAAAAAGTTTTACACTTAAAAACAAATAGTTCTATAAGGTTATTCTGTGGCAAATCTACCACGTTTCATTAATTTCCCTGGCTATTTATTTTGAAGAAATACAAACATAAATAGTGATGAAAGCCAAAATATGAAATGTCATGGATGTATATTTACTGAGTAAATACAATCCACTATTTTGTAGAGGGATGGTGAAAATGACAATTTTCACCTGAGGTTTGGAGCCAAATTACGGGGGTAAAAATGACTTCAGGAAGATGGCATCATTATGTTATTTTTACACAGAGATTGGTAGCTCAATTAGTAAAATCTGTTGACTTTAGCAATCTTTGTTGCATTAAATGTCAATGGTCACAGTTTAAAAATGGAAAAAAAACACACTTCTGTTTTTGGTATCTTAATTTTTAAGGCCCCATAGGGTTCAGAACTCAAATTTCAGAACTGACCGATGATGTGGGAAAGAGGGTTTCATGACACTTACTTAGACAATGTAAACATAAAACAAGCAAATCAAACAATTTAACAACAAACCCAATGCACATACTTCAGATACAGCACAAGAATGTACTCTAGAGTGATTATATGGAGCAGCATGTGTGAGATCCAGCAGACAGTCCAAACAGAAGGAGCATGAGTGGATCAAGTGAAACATGTGAACAAATGGACCCTGCAACGAAACAAACTCACACCACAGATTGACAATCACGCTGAAACACTAGACCTGCTGAAAGACCTTCTGACGCTGGACAGAAACATCTTAGTGTAATCCATGGATTAAAGGATTTCATAGGCACATGTGAATGTATGCAATACTAGTGTCTAGATTACACTGAGATACATCTACATGTTTAATTTACAGACACACGGCCTAATGAAGACAGACAGAGAGAGATTTAACCGGTGTGTGCATGTAAGAGACTGAAAACTACTGATTTAACTTTTCCATGAGCAAGCTGAAAATACTCACACAATGATTCACTCGGCTATGTCAAACATTTACCTAAAACACTGCTAAATATTCATAAAAAACAACAGTAAGTCAGAAAATATCTGACATTCCAATATTCTTTAATATATTTCAATAAATTAATCATGCTATTTCATGCATATACTATTTCAATACAGTATATATGTCAAAAGAAGTCTGGAACCTATTGGGTCAAAAACGAAAAAGTTAACTGAAAGTGAGCATGTGACTTTCCTCAACTTATCCTTTTAAAATGAATAAATAAATGAATGAATGAATTAATTAATTTTAAAAACAAATAACAATGACAAACCACGCAACAAAATGATAACATTACAAATGACTAAAACAACTAAAACTAATTACTGAAAAATTACTTTGGAAAGGTGAATTACTCTGTTTTGTCTGTTGTAGACGTCAGTGCTCAGATATCTTTATTCTATTCTAGTACTTTTTTTCTAGTACGCTTTTATTCTAGTACTACTGTGAATTTAGATATGAATAAAGATACTGATGCTCTTTCACACATTTAAACATTTTGATGGAATTCAGCCTCACATGATCACAGCACTGTCATCATTTCATTTTTATCACATATAACTCTCTGATTATGCATAACTTCCCCTGCACTCACACCTGTGCTCCTGTTGCTGTTGCCAGGGTGTGAAGTCACCATAGCAACAGGCGTGAACCAATGAGAGCGACTCACCGTGGCGAGTTCGTCAAACTTGCCGAAGAGCTCGTTGAGGAGTTTAACGAGCTCCTGCGCCGTGCACTGCGACGCCAGACTCGTGAAGCCCACGATATCCGCAAACAGAATACTGCAGGGGAAAAAACACAGAAAGCCATTAGACGCTTCCTACCACTTCACAAGAGAAGAGTACAGAAAAACTGAAGACATGTATCTGTTCTCTTAAAGAGATGTTTACCTTCTGCTGTTTGTTCATAAGGAGCTCAAACTAGAGATTTATACTGTATTTATACTACATATGCGCTGCTTTATTTGAATCTGATTGAGATGTCATTAAATTATTCAAAGTAAGGTGAGAACTGTCAGAAAGCTTCAGCTCTGGTCTGTGTAAAGGGAAACAGGGACTGTCCCGTATCTATCCATCCACCTTGATTTAATAATGAAATGACAGAGACAAGCCAGAGAAACAAGCCAGACTGAAGCCCCCATTGATACATAAACCTTAATATTCATTATTGGCTTCATTTGTTTGCTTTAAATATTTAAATGAAATCTGATCAGTGAGACTGACTTAAAATTGACAATAAAATAAACTGCTTTTTGTGCTCAAGTCACTGTTATTTTAGTATAATTGTAATGTTGTTATAGTTTTTTTAAATCAGTTTTTATTTTATTATTTTTAATTTTAATTTTAGTTAAAGTTTTATTAGTTTATAGTTTTTTTCATTTCATTTTTTGTTTTAGTTACTTATTTTAGTACATCAAGTTGAACTAAATTAAAATTACAAATGTTGCCTTGGCAATTTAAATAATATTTTTCAAAACTGGAAACAATTTTTTACACTTTATTTTATTTCAGTCAACATTGATTTTTTTTTTCAAGTAAGGACATTTTAATTAGTTTTAATTTTAGCTAAATATAACAACCCTGGCTCAAGCTTTACGCTTTCACTCACAACTCCTCTGCAAGCATTATTCCTAAATATAACATCTATGAGCATAATTTAAATCAATGACATTTAAATCTGTGTATTTTTACAATTTTAGTGTTGCTGTTCAGTTTTTTTACAATGAGCGGTTGTAATTCTTTGATCTTCTGTCATATACATTTTGTCACATAATGTTGCAGACGGACAGATAAAGTTCACGGTCGAGTATCAAACAAAGAGTCTTTAATCATAAAGCACAGGTAACAGGACAGAAGGCAGAAGTCAACACTATAAACCGAAACGAGACCAGACAACAAACACAAGCAAAGGAGGAACTACAATACTGACACAAACCGGGTTAATTAAACTAAAAGAACCAATCATATCAGTAAACATAGAAACAAAGGAGAAGCGGGAAAATCAAACAAAGGAAGACAGGAACTAAAGAACTAAAAGTCCATGAAACTGAAACTAACTGAACATACCTGTGACACATTTAAATGTGCTTGATTTGTTTATTATGCACCTGATATTTGCTCATCTAAAGTTGAGACCAGTTTCAGTGTTGTGATTAATATTGTTATTTGGCAGACAGAGATGTTTTTCTGATGCCAACAAACAGCAGTTATATCAGTCCTTCCATAAACAGCGTGTTCTTCACAGGTGAGCGCGAGCTAAAGGTGTAAGTGAGAGCCGGCTGACGTAGAGATTACATCCTTCAAAACAAACCCTGTGTATATCAAGTCAAGTCACATTTATTTCTATAGCATTTTATACAATACAGATTGTTTCAAAGAAGCATCACAGAATTAAACAGTAAAATAACAGAATAAATAATGCAAACGTCATCAAATATGAAGCAAACTCAATTTCAGCTGTAAAGCAGCTCTACAGAAGACAACAGTGTCATTGCTTAGATCAATTCAGTTCAGTGTTGATTCAGTTCAGTTCAATAACAGTGTTGATGTTGCAAAATTAATCAATTATGGTCTTGTATAAAAAAAAGTTCAGTTTCAGCTGGAACACAAACTCCATCAGTGACAGAAATAGAGAAACCAGGCTCAGTCAGGACTAGTTCTCCTCTGGTCTAAGCCAATGAATGCAGTGTGATATTGACATCATCATTGATCAAGATGATGATGATGATGTTAGAGGAGCTGAGCACTGCATTTGGGTGGCTGTTTTAAAACTGTCATGAAATGAAAACTGACCCTGTATATTTTCTTAATGCATGTAACTGGTCTCACTGAGACTGATCCATCGGTGCATTTATTGTTTATTGTCCTCGTTCAGCCAATCACATTCAGATCTGCCACTGTTACAGCATACAGCGCTCACTTCACCGTCCAATCAACAACCACGATCAGATCAAGCCCTGCCCTACGTGTATTCTAGTTTGATAAGCTGTTTCACTTGGAAATATGTCATAATACACAAGTACATAATGTCATAAGTCGATCACAGCTTCTCTTTCATGGTGACTTTAGCTGTCACGAGAGAGTGAGTTTGGTCTAATCAGTTGAGGAATAAAGTTACTTCCTTTCCATGATTCAAATACATTTTCAAGTATGCTGCAAAAATGATGTTCTAAAAAATTGGTTTTTCTTGTTTTTCAGTAAATTATCTAAACATTCTTAAAACAAGAACAAATATCTGCCACTGGGCTCAGAAAAATAAATCACTGTGGTTACTAACGTAACCTAGGTTACCTGAGATAAGGGAACGAGCGCTGCGTTGAATGCTTTTGGGGGTAAACTCCTGTTTACTCTGATACTGAAACCTGATTTGTTCACATTTGTGTAGCTGCACGAACAAATGGTGCTTCAGCCCGCCAAAAGGGGTGGAGCTGACTGCTATATAAGCCGGCTCAGAGCGCCATTCATCAGAATCTTTCGACTGATTGTGACAGTCATCAACTCGCGTGCACGCCAGCTTACGCAATGCTCATTCCCTTTTCTCAGGGAACCGAGGTTACATTAGTAACTGGAAGGTCCCCTTTCGAAAGGGTCTCTCCTGTTGTGTTCAACGCTTATGGGGAACACATCCAATAGCACCGTGCTATAAGCAAGTGCAGAATGAAGCCGCTCTGTGAGCCCAGCCCCGGGGCGCCTGTAATGAGGGCTCCTAAAGAGCATGAGCCAAATATGGACAACAGGCTGGGGTCTACATAACAAGACCTTTTCCACTAATCTAGGGGATCAGGTAAATTAAGTGGACAAAATCCATGCCTGCAGGGTAGGGACGTCCAGGTTATAAAATCTGGCGAAGGTAGACGGCGAAGACCAGCCGGCTGCCACACAGATATCACCAATTGAAACTCCGCTGGACAGAGCCCATGAGGAGGCCATTCCTCTGGTGGAGTGGGCCCTTACTCCGATAGGATATTGTAAGCCAGCTGAGGCGTAAGCCAGGGCTATAGCGTCAACTATCCAGCGAGAGCTGCTCTGAGTGCCGAAATGGGCCAGAGCGCTCAACAAACACTCTAAGAGCCTGAACCGGGCAGAGTGGATTGGGACCCTGCTCATCCTCTGAATTAGGAAGAGCGAGAAGGGTAATGACTTGTGCTTTGAACGGAGTGGAGAGCATTTTAGGCACATAGCCGTGTCTTGGTTTAAGGAGGACTCTACAGTCGTTAGGACCAAACTCAAGGCATGAAGCACTGATTGACAGTGCTTGCAGGTCGCCTACTTGATTGACCGACGCTAAATCCAAAAGGAGGGCGGTCTTAAGTGACAGGGGCTGTAAGTCGGCAGACTGGAGCGGCTTGAAGGGAAGGCCCCTTAGGGCCCTGAGGACTATGGATAAATCCCAGGTCGGCACAGTATGAGGACAAGGTGGATTCAATCTCTGAGCTCCCCTCAGAAACTTAACGACAATGTAAATCGGGGGGAAGGCATACAAGTGAGCGCTGGGCCATTTGTGGGCTAGGGCATCTCACTGCTTTGAGAAGGATATTGGGCAGTGAAAGTTGTCTTCTGAGGTGAAGAAGTCAATCTCTGCTCTCTCGAAGACGGAGCAGATCATTTGAACTGCTTGCCGAGGTGGGACTACCCTCAAACACTTGTACTCCGTCAACAGAAGTGAGGGTGGCAGAAGTAGCAGTGTGAACGTGCGCCAAATAGGGGACATGCCACATCCTGGTGAGTTCTGGTGAACTTCCAGAAAAAATGGGCCGGGTCTCTGGCGGGAGGAGCATTGACGGCATCCTGGCAGGTACCACTCATCTAAGCAGCTGCAGACAGCTCTTCCGGAGCCGACCATTCTAAGCCCAGTTCCTCCACGGCCTTCATGAGGATGCGAATCAACTCGCTGTCCACACTGGCCCGGAGTCTTTGAGAGAAAGGGAACAGGGATCCTCTCTGGGACACGCCCATTCCTTTGCATCCGAAGCTGTCAGTGACATGGAGTTGACGGCAACAGCTTCATCTTCTTATCCACTGAAAGAGACCAAGCCGCTCACTGCAGACGAGGGGCGCTGATCCTCACGTGAGAATAACATCGGCAAATCAATGTGCTTCCAGGGAGAGTGAAGCACGCGGGACCTGTGCCACTCTCAGGTTCACTCAAACCTGGGAAATCCATCCCGCTGCCCCACTGTTTCTTCCACCGAGACTCCTGGGAGGAGAGAAATGGGGGAGCAGACGAGGGAGGACCACCTTTATTAAAGAAGGCAATCCACAAGCAAAGCAGGGCGAGAATCATGCTCTCGCAGTGAGAGCAATCCGTCTCGGTGAGTGCGGCCTCAGCGTGGGCACTGCCTAGGCAAGTGATGCACTATGAACCACACTTGCAGCACGACATTTGAAACAACGCCGTTGTGGAAATTTGCTCTTGGAAGCGCTCTTTCTCAGTCGCCGGATGGCTGCAGGGGAAGTGCTGTTTGAAGGCATCCTTCCTCTGCCGGGGCTCTTCTACGGCGAGTAGCGGCTTCTCTTCGAGCTTACTCGGCTTCTAGGCTTCTTTCTTCAGAGTCCAGCAGGGAGATGATCTTCGCGCTGAAGGAGAAAAATTCTGACGAATGGCACTCTCAGACTCCTTTGGAGACGCCTAAGCATTCAACGCAACGAGAGAGTCCGTTCGAAAGGGAACTTGTTTTCCCTTTGAACTGAGTTAATATTTCTGACCCCCACTGCCAGATATTTCTTCTCATTTTAAGTAAGAATTCACTTCACTTTGATCTTTTCTTTTTTTTTTTAGAAAG